CCCATTGATGAACTGCCACAAAACAGTAAATGGTGCAGCTTTAGCCGACATGGCTAATTTCCAGGCTGTTGCTCCCAGCCAGATGTTAATAGACACCCTTAAAATTACAATATATCAACAGCATTATTAGTAGAAAATATATAAAATAAAATATAAAAGGAGGAAGAAGTAGAGAACAATTAAACAGACAACAACGATTTACATACAAACAGACATGTCACATATAGACACATCCAATACAGTAACAGAAAACGAGGGGCAATATCCATGATCACAACATGTAACACAACATGTAACACTCGACGCCGATTACTTTCAAACAGACTAGTGTGTGCAAGGTGTAGTTTCTCAGTTGAACCATGCTTTTTGAGTGAGCCCGTTGAAGGGTGGTATGTGTATATGTGTACCAATTGTATAATAAGTGTAATGTATCTCAAATAAAATACAAAATATAATAAAATAAACATTAAGGTGCAGCATTTCGATGAACTTAAATAATCTGTATTTGAACTTTACAGTACTAGTACTCACAAAACATAAACTATTAGTTTGGGGTTTTTGATTATTATTAAACTGTGAATATTCACTCAAATAAATACAAAATATAATAAAATAAACATTAAGGTGCAGCATTTCGATGAACTGAAATAATCTGTATTTGAACTGTACTGTACTAGTACCTACCTAAGCAGCCAGTTTGACATTATGACTTGCTTGTCATTGTATTTTCATGTTTTTTTAAAGAAAAATTAACTTGTCCACATTGCTTGCCGAAAGGGCAGATCTGCTGGCACTAACAATGTCTCCTGCTGTGGAGAACACCCTCTCGCTAGGGACAGAGGCAGCAGATACAGCCAGGTAGCGCTTTGCTAACATGGCAACATAAGGATATTTGGCGTGTGTAATAGCTTTGGCTCGGTCTGAACTTTTTGCGAGTGGTAGAGGCTTAAATGCTAGTGGGAGTTGGGTTTGCACTTCAGTCTTTTTTCTTTTGGTACCGGTGATATTCACGTTCGGGTTCAAATGAGTGTGCAAGTGTGTATTGCCAGCCGCGTAGCCACTTTTAGTTGAACAATGCCGACAAACAGCTTTGGTTCGGTCCACCTGTCTTTGTCCGTCATCCTTGTACGTAACTGCAAAACCAAAATGTTCCCAAATCGGAGACTTCAATGATGCTGAAGGATTTTCGAGCTCAACTTTATCTGCGTTCGCCATTTCGACAGTTCCTCAAATTACTGACTAAATTTGAACGCATCCCTGTGACCAGCTCTCATAGTATGCCTCTCGTCCAATGACCGAACCAAAGGGTCATACCGAATAATTTCGGTATGGGTACGTATACCGTTACACCCCTACCGGGGACACATATTTATGTATAAAAGACATAAAAAAGTGCATTTTGCATGATAGGTCCCCTTTAAGTCAGAGAAAACACACAAACTGAGGTAAAGTTTACTGCTTAAGTTATTTTGTTAAGTGTCAATTTTGTATGGGGACAGAAATGCGATGCACAATTACGATAAGATAGCAGTTCTTCAGTGGCTTTAAGTGTTGGCTTAGCCTCTACACCTCCAATAGAATAAACACAACTTTTGGTTTCACTACAGAAATCAGAAATCTTTAGTTTTCATTGTTCATCTTTAGATATAATCAATGAGTTATGTCTGGAATGAGATGTTAATGCTACTATTGATGTTCTATTACCTGTAGTCATGAAAACATCATGATGGGAATTGAAATAGGGATTTTTTTATGAACAGACTCAGCCTAATACATTTAATGAAGGTGGTCTCTGCTTGGTTGTCCCACCACTGTTGGAACTGAGTTTCTATGTCTGAATTAGGATTTCCTGATTCAATTTAAATGGCAACAAGCATTAATCCAACCAACAGGATTATTTCCAGTAAGAGTGACATGTTATGCTCTTACCTCCTCCTCCAGCTTGACCACTTTGGCCTGTGTGTTGTCGAGCGCCTGGTCTCTGATCTCGATGTGTCTCCTTTGGTCGTCCGTGGCGGAGCGCAATGCGTTCAACTCCATCTCCAGCTTCTCCTTCTCACGGAGCGTCTCCTTATCTTGAACACAGGTACAATACAATGTCTTTCCTCATAAAAAAAATAGGTTATTGTTATGCAAATCAGATGGATGTTAGGGTGTGTGTGTGTGTGTGTGTGTGTGTGTGTGTGTGTGTGTGTGGTGGTACTCACTCTGTGCAAGCAGTTGGGATATGGTTTTCCGGTTGTCCTCTGAGCCATCGCACTCTTTAGCGGCAAGCTGCTTATTGGCCGTCTCCATGCGCTCTTTAACACAAAACACGCACACACAGGCTCAGAGTTCAGACAACAACTCAAACTTTTATATTTTTTTGCACATTGCACCTCTGTATGAGTTCACAGTGACTTATAAACATTGTAACTGCCCCCGACAGGCCTGTTAATGTGAGTACAAGCGTAATAATACACGCAGCATTTGAACTATGTGTTCGGTTACACGTTATTTAGCAGACTCCTTATCCAAAGTGACTCACATACATGCCATTTGGAGATTTCTTTGTGAAATACATAAATGTTGGAAAGATTGATTCTAGACAATGGTTAATTCATGGAAGGTGTGACGGCTGTAGTAAAAGTACACATGAACAAATTGTTGCTTAATACGCCTTCTCAACTCCTGTTGTGAGAACCCTTTATTTTTATTTTACACTCTCTAAAACAAAAGCTTCAGTGAGTTTATATTAAACTTCAACCCAATCAGTCGTAAAAGTTGACATCCCACACGGATCTAAGCTAAAGAGCAAGAACAAAGAAGGGAAACAGACAAAATAAATATGTGTGTTTGCTGTGTAGTTTCAGCTACTAAAACACATTGTGTCAGTTTGTGAATCAGTCGGCCCTACACATCTGTCATGACACTGATACAGAAAGGAATGGGATCTTGATTTTTTCTTAAGAGTAAAAATAGCACCTGTGCATGTACGTTTCAGCCAACAAGAACAACAGTATGTTTTGAATAAATATATTTATAACAATGCAGTGCACAATTTACATACTTCATATCTTTCACTACAGCAGACATATATAATGATCTAGTGCCACTTTGAACCTCTCTTCACAATACTTTTTTCAATTCCTGCAAAATAAACATAGCTGAAAATAGTTTGACCATTGTAGTTTTATTTTGAATTTGCAATCAGTTTCAGCAGGAAGGTTATTGCATTGTTACCCCCCTCTCTGCTCTCTCACCTCGGAGGTCCCTGTTGAAGTCGTGCAGCCGCCGGACCTCCAGCTCCAGCTTGTTCCTCATGGTTTTTTCCAGGGCCTCCCTCTTTGAGGAAGACTTAGCAAGGTTTTCATATGCCTCTGACACCAGCTGGATCTCCGTTTCCAACTGCCCACAGGTACAAGATGAATGATTCGAAAAAAGAGGAAAGAAAGGGAGCGCAAAGGTGCTGGGTTAAACTTCATCCAAATGTTATATTGTATATTTATCTTCTGAATATTTGCAATGTCACTATCTACATATTGGCGGTCTACAGCCTGAGCTTCGTCAAAGGTGAGATCTTCAATATTCATAGTTAATATTCAAATATATTTCGACCAATAGTCTCAAAAAAACGATCACAATACCAAAAAAAACTAGTTTAACTCAAGACAATAGAACTTTTTTCACTCCTTTTCTTGCACTCTATTCTAAACAACACAACCCATAACAGCAGTGTTTTTGTTACCTTGTGCAACTTTTTGACTTTCTCATGGCAGGACTCCATCTCCTGCCTCAGCATTCTGTTGTCCTCCGTAAGCACATCCACCATCTGGTGGGCTCGCACCATCATAGCAAAAGGCTCCCCCTGCAGTTGAGAGTAGGATTGTGGTTGGGGGAAATGTGCGGTCTGGACTGGCAGCTGGAGGTGAGGAGGTGGAGGTCCTTGGAACTGCTGCTGCTGTATCTGCTGCTGCTGTATCTGCTGCTGCTGTATCTGCTGCTGCTGCTGCTGCTGCTGACACTGATGAGGCTGCTGATGGTACATCCTGGGAGTGGAGCCGTACGGGTCATGAGGGAAACCATGACTTCTTGGTGTTTGATGAATGGAACCCATGGTAAAGGGCTCACCTGCTTGGTGGGAGCTCGGACCCTGTGGACTGCAGGGCCCAGGGCTAGGGAAGGGCTCTCCCTGGCTCTGGGGGTGCTGGTAAGGGAAGGACGGATGGGATGAGTGGGAGGCACTGAGCATGCTGGTAAGGGTGGAGGACTGGGTACGGGACAAGGATCCCACAGAGGTGACAGAGGAGGTGGGACTGTGCTGATGATGGGGCCTCTGGAAATGAACTGAACCCTCCTTACTTGACCTGAGGAGAGATCAGCTTTGTGAATAGACATTTACATGAACAACACAGGACATATGAAACTGCCATTGAAGTGTTAATTAAATTAAAGTTTTATAATGTAGGTCATACTTGGGGTTGGTGGTTGTTACTGGACTTCATTAGAGGTGTGTATACACAGGGGTGCACATAACTGGTACGTAGGTACGAATCGGGGACAAAATTCTGAATTGCGTAACGTCACTTGTGTCACTACGCACCTTTGCGTACCTGATATGTCATCAAAACAAAACACATATTTTGCCTACACTTGTTTCTTGTCAACACTCAATGGAGTAAACTACTAGACATGTCCAAAAGACATTAAGCAGCTACGTTGGATTTCGCTACCTGCAAAAAATATTCTGACTTTCTATGACTGATTGAACTGGGTGCTGGCCGAGCCACGCAGGCCATAACCGACGGACTTGTGAAGCTTTTCCAGGAGGCGGGCTTAGATCACTGGACGACTAAGTTGGTCGCCGTGTGCACAGACGGGGCTGCAGTTAACGTCAGTATGTACAACGGAAATGTACCATAACTACATCAACTGGCTGCGGAGGGAGACTCCTCTGTGCACACTCTGTGCCCCTCGCATACACTGGAGAACTGCGAGAAATCAGCTGATCACAACGTTCACGCTCTGTGGTCAAGCTGCTGCAGTTTTATTTACAACAAGGTGGAGTAAAACACACAGCTGCAAACTTACTCAGGGTGTTAATGGAAGAGTTTGAAATCAGAGGTGGATGAAGTACTCAGTAAAATTTGAAGTACCAGAGTGTAGGAATAATCTGTTACAAGTAAAAGTAGAAAAGTATTATCATCAAAATATAGTGAAAGTACCAAAAGTGAAAGTAGTCATTGTGCAGATTGGTCCATTTCAAAATAATATATATGAT